CCGCATCATTTGACCTGTGTACGTAATGTCTATTTATAAACAGGAATATAACTATAACTATAACTATAAATATAAATACATAGATATAAATATACCGGCTTGAAAATATGATTATACGTGTAACTATGCATTTCGTTATTCCGGTTTATGATCAGTAAAATGAACACCAGCTTTGGCTAATTGTAGTCACATCGAAGGTTCCAATTGTAATTCCAATTCCGATTTGTAGATCATTGCTAAAGTATAGATGAGGGGGGGGGGGAGCATGGAAAGTACATATAAACTAAATACTTTGGTATATATACTTGGGAACTAAAAATAATTACTGACTGCCAATGAGCAGTGTTGCAGGGAAATGAAAACTACACTCGCAATATTTTAAGCTTTACAGAAACCATTTAATTACCTCAAATAATATAATTAAATAAATATATATATGTGTATATATATATAAATGTTGACTCTGTAAGCAGTTAATGCCTTGTGCAGGTACATAAATCTGTTTTTTATATAGGACGACGTTCTTCATTTTGTATCTGGAAGAGAGGCAACTTCAAATGTCACAAATGCTAAAACCGACGTCTATTTATATTCCTAGAACAAACAGAGGCATGATGTCGGACTCTCTTTGTTTTTTATTTACTTTTGACACAAAAACCACAAAGAAGATTTGGCGGTAGATAAAAGCTAGAACATCGAAAAAATCGAACTTTGTCGGCGGTTAGACATGTGATAATTACCCGACTGATGATATCAAATTATGGCTATCTTTATATCTATCTATCTATATATATATATATAAGAATTAAGTTTCTATTTTCTGAAGAAGAAAGGAGCGTTTCAGTTGCTTTGGCGTGCATATATATGTAGATTTCTCATTCGTATGAACCCCAGTGGCTGTTGTCTCTATACCAACCAGATCGAGACGTCTGCGATTGATCCATTTAATTCTTCTTGTTACAGATAGGACTTCTTTTATTTTTTTTTGGTTGCTGGTCCCGTGACCTAACTACTTGGACATCACAGGACACGAGCCAATGGAATCAGTCTTACTGTACCATGGTATACGTACACAACGACAGAAGTTCTGCTATTTATCCCCTGTGTCGTATATTATGATTGGCTCTATAGTAGCTTTTTTCTCTCTTTAAGCACAACTTCAATATCAGATTGATATCAAGATTCATTGATTAATTCAAGAAAGTTCTATATATTTGGAGGCTACAACATTGGTATTTTATATCAGACTAGTTTGGATTGGATTGAACTGAACTGCATTAGATTAAATCAAATTAAATTGAATTGAATTGCTGGTATAATTACACCTATTGCAATACAATTACACACAGAATACAACTTTTTTCAGTTTATACAATGATGTTCCCAAAGAGATTCTCTACTCCTGTTTTGAAAGTATACTGGCCATTTTTCATTAGTGGTGTTGGTATCTATGCTTTGTTTGGTAAGTTTGCTGACTTATCAGCAAACTCCAAAGAATTTATTAATGATCCAAGAAACCCAAGATTCGAAAAAGGTGGTAAATACATTGAACAATGAATAGTAAGTAGTAAGGAAATTTGTATAATTGGAAACTTTCCATCCTTTTTATTATTATCATTAGTGTTATAATTTTGATCGATTTATTCCAATAGGGTAAAGAGAGACAAAGTGTGACTCGTTCATTTAAATTTTTTAAATATTCACAGGGAAAATTACAGAAATTGTAAAACAATTAATCCTTATATCATTTAGTATATACTTCTATATTTATATATTCTAATTTAGAAAAGATTCTTAAACTCAACTTTATGTTGAAAGATTTCATTTTTTTCTTCATCCTTTAAACAACACCCTTTGGTCTCTAATTCTATGATCATTTCTTGCATTAATGTCATCCTGTCTTCGCTAAGCGTCCCTTCTTGATAATTCTTTTCATACATGATGAACAATAACCCATATAAATCAAAATTGTGGCATTTCAGCCTTTCTTCTGGTGTGATATCAATTAACGTTTGAATTAGTCGCATAGTCTCATTCATTATACTTGGGAAAGCAGTGAAAAATGGATTACGAATTACATATTCGCCTAGATTAAAGATCAGTCGTGATAGATGAATCACCGAGGCTCCTTGTAGTTCATTTAATAATTCCACAGTAAGATTCAAGATGTACAACGTTAAATCTTCATACTGATAAGTTACCCTTGGCATTACATTTTGTAATATGACAACTGATAATATTTTTTGTAAATTCTTTTGATACATCGCTCTATTATCATTGAATTCTCTTTTATATAATAATTCTAGTGTAGGGAATACCATTTCAAATACCATTAATGTCTCCTTGGAAGAATATGATGGAGGCAAGTAGTATGTCATATTGATTAATATTGGTTCATATAATTTGAATAGCCCAGTTTCCGGGAATGACATCCATCTTTCATCCTCAACAACACTGCCTGCAAACGTATGTTCTAATAATACTTGTAATAATTTTACACCTCCTAGTTTAATCCTCTCTAAATCCGTAGTATCATCTAATAGATTTAAAATACCAGGTGTTATCCACCACAGGTTACTTGATATTTCATTACGTTTCATGAACCGAAGTATCGTATAAAACAACGGTATACTTTGCAATCCACCACAATCCAGCCATTTTGTTCTCAGATCATCATTTTTAATACTAAATCCAAGATTTGGCCTTAAACCTTCAGTCTTACCACTATTGCTACACTTTAAAAGCAGAGGTTGTAAATGATCGATTAACCCATGAAGCATCCATCTGCTATTAGCATCATCAGCACATCCTAATACCTGATTTAATGTATTAAAACATATAGAACTCTTCTTGTCCATACCAAGACTAAAAGTACTAAATATATTCAATAATTTTATTACCATATCCCTAGGTAATGTCTGTATAATATCCAGAAAAGTCATACAAATCTCATATAAAATTTCATATTCAACTTCATTTTGCTTCGAATAGTCATAATTGTTGATAAAGTCCTCAAGTTGCTCCATATTGCACCAATTGCTTCATCTTAACTTCAACAACTCATCTCATCTCATCTTAAATAGTATTATGTAATTTTTCACTTACGATTTCTCACCTTAAATTTCCCATATTAAAGCAAAAAAGTTACTTATAAGGCATTAACTATGCAGAGGGACCATGGTGACTGTAATATAAATAAGGTAAGAATTGATATAATAGTAGTTATCTGTATGATTCAGATGGTAATGTTATGGTAATAATTATACTTAGGATAAGTGTTCATCTAGTTGTACTGTTCTGAAGGTTTAATAGGTCAATAATCCAGGATATGCTTATGTAAAAAGATTAAACTTCATTGTATTTTAATTGACGCAAGCAGCTATCTAGAACAGGTTTCATGGTGGTGATTATAGATTTGTACTTTAATTATTTAATTTTACCACGTAAGGTTAAGGTTCAAGCAATAGTATTAATGGTGACTTTTTTAATAGTTAAATATCTGACTTCAGTTCAAGTACGATAATATGATAAAAGCACTGAGGCTCTGTATTTTGGAAACGAGTATGAAGCTTTAAAAATGAACTGAATAAAAGAAAAAACAATTCCAAAAAGTTCTAAAATATCTGAGAATTTTTCAAAATGAAAGCATTCCTTAACTGTACTTGAAAGACCAAAATAGCTCCAGTAAAGTTAATCGTTATTATAACAATTTGAATATTAGATCGATAAATTAGGATACATAAATACACATATAGGCATCACTTAAAATAAAATAGACTATAAAAATAATGAATTCCTTGGTAGTAATAATAATATAAAATTATTATACTATGGAATAAATTTTATCAGTGACAGTTTCTTTTGTTGGTGGAGAAAGAGGCTTTGGACCCCCAATATATTGACTAAATAAGAATTTACCAACAATTGGATCTGTGACAGTACCTAAATGAATCGCTTTGTTCTTTTTACGATTATTATGGGTGAATACTAAAGAACCATTGGATTTCAATTCAATAAATAAATCATCATTTTTAGCTACACTACCTTTATTCGATAAAGTTTCCTTAAGTTGAGCCAAACCATTTTCTAATTCTGTCTTCTTTTCATTTGCATTTGGATGGTTTAGAACTGTCTTGGTGATACCATCTCTCAAATGGTTAAAATCTGTATTTCTAACTGGAGTAATCTTTGCCATCATTTTAATACCGCTATCTAATAAATTACCAATTAAGATTAAAGATTTCTTAGGATCATTCAATGCTTCTTTAACATTTTCTGGATGTGATTTAGACTTATCAGTGTCAATGAATGTTGAAGATAAATAACTTGTACTGAACAGTTTAGCAATTGATTTAATATCTTCATCAGCAACATAAATTCCCAAAGCATAAATTTTAAATTTTAAAAAGGTAACAGCTCTGATACCATAACCTAATAATGAATAATCATTAGATAATGAATATTCATTCTTGGAATAATTAACTGGCAATGGTGAAATTGAAGAATCGACACTAACTGTCTTGCTAGCATCATCATTAACATTTTCATCATTAATAATAGCTGAACCACCATTGCTAATAGTGAAATAGTAACCAGAAGTGATACCAAACAAACCTAAAAGATACAATTTCTTATTAAAAATATGATTACCATTACTTATCAATGTTTTAGCCAATGGCCTATTGACTGAAGCTCTAGCACCATTTAGACTAGTAATAGTTCTAACGCTTAATCTTATAATAGGAGATGACCTATTGAACACTCTTCCAAACATACCTAACTGAAATATAAGAACCCTAGCTTGCTCTGATCTCCAAACTATTCGATGGACTTACGATTATCAGGCTAAAATATAAGTTTAGAATACTTGATTGTCTTGTTTTATGTTATAACAAATGAGAATAATATATAATGGTTAATTACCTCATTCTTTATATTTAACGATCCCGTTTAGTGATGCTATTGGATAGATTTTAATTAGAATCAAATATGTTTTTTTAAAAGAATAAAGTAGGAGATACATTCAGTGGAATGTGATAATGATCACCAGACAATTGATAATTTTATTTGGTGTTTTACACAGGAATATATCCCTGGTTTATCATATCCTATTATTCGTGATAATGACTTTACTTGGACACTGAAAATGTAATAGAGAGGGCATGACAACCATTGAAAGTTGATGGAAATTTACTTGAAACTATAAATATGTGCCATGGTATTTAATTGTCAAAGTTATGATCAATTGTAAACTCTATGGCATAGCCATCGTTATAGTACTGGCAAGTGAAGACTGTTTATTAAAAATATTCAAAATCACGTGCCATAGCTTTTCTAAGCATTCCCTTTCATTATAAAGCCTTAAATAAGTGAAATATTTGAAGTCATCTCTTCAAAAATAGTTAAGATTTGATGCTCTCTTGAATGAGATACGATAAGGGAACTGTGATACTCCAGTTTGTTATCGTGGGCATACGATTAGTTTGGGTATAAAAAAAATTTTCCGTTTAATTTCAAGTTTCTTAATCATCTATTTTGATTGAGACCCAGAAGGAAAAACGAATTGGAAGAGATGTTTGCTAGTCTTCGTGGTAAAAATCAAGGGACTTTTCCTCAGACAAGTACTCTAAATGCTTCAAACAATGCTAATAACTCTAGTCATAGAAGGAATAATGGCGCTGCAGAAGCCAATACAATATCTTTGGTTTCCGGTAATCTAGTAGTTGGGAATGACTCTAGATATGCGAAAGGTTCTGAATTGTTGAGGGTTGATACTACTACAAGTATTCCTACAGGTGGTCGTTTATCAAAAGTTGTTGAATCATCTTCTGATAACAAACATGAGAACAATGATAACAAGAATAGACAAATTCATGATAGAGCACATCAGTTGGAATTGACATACCATGATCTCTCAAGGTTTCCAAATGCATTGATAATGATAGATACTAATCTTATACCAGGATTAAAAAATGGCGATCTTTGTGAATTAATGACTTATAACAAGAATGATAGTACAATGGATTTAATGAACCAAAATATCTCTAATAATGTCAAGAATGTAAATAGTAGAAAAAATAGAAAGAAGATTTATTTTATTGCTAAGGATCTAGTACCCGACTTACAACGATCAAAACACAAGTCTCCACAAATATCTATTGCATCAGGTCAATTACAATCTTTATTGGAATTGCCTTCAAGATCAAAAATTTGGGTTAAAAGAAAGGACAAGCTAGAATCAGAATTAGACTTAGTGGAATTAAACGTAAAGGATATTTTATTAAATAGAGGTGATATGTGGTGTATATCATCCCTGTTAGTCAATACTTGTGTCTTTGCAGGCCAAAAATTAACTTTCTTAGATACAATTAGAACAACGGTAAGTGGTGTATATAGAGATGGTAAGAAAACATTATCTGGTTATATTGGAGAAAATACAAGAATTGTATTTAGATCAGAGTCAGCGAAATTAATATTTATTATACAAATTACCGATGAAATGTGGAACTTTGAGGAATCTGGAGAACAATTATTTCAAAAGATGGTAAATTCACTGTTCCCTAAAATTCTAAAGAAATGGAAAGAAAACAATACACATCATAGCATAACAATAGCATTTTCTGTTTCGATGGATATGTCTGATAAACCATTCGAAGAATTGAAACCTGGAGAGAAATTAAAAACAACGACAGATTATTATCGTATAGTCGTTGACCAGGTCAATATCATTCATTGGGTTCAGATTATGGATACCTTAAGGGAAGAATTTATGAAAATTACTGAAGAATTAAAAAAATGTTTATCAAAAGCAAGAAAATGGTAGTTATTCAGTGATTAAAGGGAGATTTTCGCCGGTCATAAAATCTAATATTCTAGAACTTGTAAATTTTTCAAGTACTTTGCTAACTAATCCCTTTAAACAGTTAGATCTAAGACATACTACTACACACGTCATTATAATTTCTCCAGGTTCAGGACTTTATGATGTAAATTATGATTTGCTGAAATTGACTGGGAAGAAGCTCTCGACATTGGAAATGACAATGGATTTGATATGTTTGTCAAAGGCACCCCTGCATGTTGTCCCTCTTTTTCGATATCTTGATTACGAAAATAAATTACATCATTGTACTCCCACATGGTTAAGTATATTTTTCTGGAATGACTCTACCAAAAACTATCTTAGTGAGTGGCAACCAACCTCAAAAATATATAACTTACAAATGATGGGTTTAACTGAAAATGAAATTAATGAAGGTGTTAATATAAAATATATAACTATGGAAAAAAAAGTCAAGTCCGTTAATCAGCTAATGGATAATTATGATAAAAGTGTTTTCAATTATACCTTAACATCAGAAAAAATACCAGATGAGTTATCCCCAAAGTGTCAAAAATCTGAAAAGTTAGATAATAATACCAATTCTGGGAACTTTTCGGTTAAAAATTCGCAAAAATCATCAAGTTTGACCTGGACTGCTCCAAAATTTGCAACGCCTGTGTTAGAAGATGTTCAGAAACGGAACGTCTTCGTAAATTTGTATCATAATAATACTAACGAAAAGAGCCCTACTCCTAAACAAGATTCAAATCAATTCACTCCATTATATAGTACCTTCTCTAATAGAGGGAAAAAAAACAATGATTCATTAGCATTAGATTCACTAAAAGGCTTTAATAAGAAAAATACTGTAAGAGATTTTTTCCGGGGACGTTTTATTTCTAAAATAATGTCTAAACGTGGGCCGTCGGAGTTTTCAGCTTCTTCTTCAAGTCCAACCCAACAAGATCATAGTAGTTCTGTTATATCAGCAGATGATATAATTGACTCCGTAGATAAATCAAATGATAATTTTAAAGCTCTAGCTAAGACCCGAGAACAAACACCCATAATAAAGAAGAATTTAAGTACCTTTGAAAATTTTTCCAACAAAAAATCATATTCTAGCGACTCAATTAATACTGAAAATATGAATATGATGATTTCGAAACAACTTCAGCTATCTTCAAAGATTATTCCAGGTGAAAGGTATAAGGATGTGTATCCAAATAGTCTAAAAAGCAATCAGAATCAAGAACAAAATTCGGTAGTCAATAGGAAAAAGAGTGGATGGAATAATACTTGGATTGAGATTCAAAATCCTTCGGTTCCAGTTGATAATGAAGTTGCTGGCATTCTTCTATCAGCTAGATGGAGAGATGTTTTACCAAAATTCGTAGCTAAAAAGTACAGTAAATGGAGATCACTGACAACACCCGCTGAACTGCCGACTACTATTGCAACGTTCCCAACAGTTCGAGAATTTTCTGAAAATTATCTTTTGAGAAATCACTCAGTTGCTTTAAATATTGACCAAGAAATTTACAATCGTAATGTTAAAAATCTATTTTTAAATATGATCTACATGAGATTGGTAGCAGGTTTCCAGATTTGTACAGGAGAAAGAGTTGAAGAAACTGAGTATTCTTTGACCAAGGATAAGGAGTCGAATGTTGTGAGTAAATACTTGTCGGTTAAAGATTGGACAAATACAAGAATTTACATGATGATTGATACCGAAATTCATAGAATATCTTGTAATTTAGAAGGTATAATTGACGTTCAGAGATATTTAAAAAAAGAGGAACAAAATATTCTTGATCAGGTATCAAGTTATTTGCCTTTAGTAAGAACACGATACGAAAGCAAGTATAGAGCGTCAGAGGTTGATCCACTGCATGTTTCTAGGAAATCTTTAAACTGGAACCAACTTGATCAAGTATTGGCTGGTTATAGCGAGAACTTAGAAAGTTCAAGCTGGATTGGTTTCAGATCTAAATTTGTTGTGCTTCCCGCAGATATTCCTCCAAATTCTTATTCGACAGTGGTCAATGGACGTAATGAAGTTCTAAATCCAGAAGAATTAAGATTGGAAGGTATTAGACGTTTAATTGCGTTAATTTCAAGATCTCGCTTAAGAAGTATAAATGAAAGGAACAGAACAAGTACTAGAGACGAAAGATTACCAGATATTACATTTTATACAGGTACTTTATATGACTTTATCCGTGAAAGACAATCCATGGAGAAACTAGCAAGAAAAGATACTAACAGTAGCATGAAAGGAAAATTTACAAGAGATATTGAACTCGGATTATTAGCCAAGGAATTACAGACAGGTGAAGATAATGTTATTGTTGTAAATAGAATTTGGCGTTGGAAGAAGTTTTATAATTGTTTTATTGGTTCGGAACTGGTTGATTGGTTAATTCGGAACTTCAGTGATATTGATACAAGAGATAAAGCAATTGAATTTGGACAGACTTTAATGGATGAAAAGCTTTTTGCGCATGTTTTGAATAAACACGGTTTTCTAGACGGTCATTATTTTTATCAAATTGCTCCTGAATTTATTATAAAAGAGTCTAATGAAAAAACATTAAATGAAAATAAATCAGGCTCTGTAAATATTGGTTTGGAACGTGAAGACAATTTAGCAAGTACCATACTATCGAATACCGCTTTGGATGTATCCAGAACCAATTCTGATACAAAAGTGGATGATAATTCAGAGACAAACCAAAATGTAAAGGAAAAGGTTATATTAAGTAACTCTATTACTATTGATATTGATCCGGAACACAAGTCTTATAAACATGAAACCTGTACGGTTCATTATGACACTGTACATAATCCTGATCATTGTTTCCATATAAGATTGCAATGGTTAACAGTTACACCAAAGCTTTTAGATGATGTTATTGATAATTGGTCACGGTTATGTGAAAAATTTGGTTTAACATTAATCGAAGTACCTTGGGAAGAGATATGTTCAATTCCTTCAACAAATCCATTTCATTCATTCCTTGAAATTAAGCTTGTCATTGATCCATGGAAAGATCCCGAATTTGTTGATGAAGAATTATTTTCAAGAAGCAAATTTTACTATCAAATTTATGTCTTGAAAAGTTCAGGGTTTTTATTAGATAATAGAGCATTTACTTTTCTAAATAATTCTAGCCTTGATTTTGAGGTTGAATATTCTTGGGGGAAACAAAGTTTCAAGAATGCTCAATATATCCACGAAAGTGGAGCATACATAGCAGAAATTAGAGAAAATGGTGATCTTTTTTTGGCGCCTAACAATATCTATCTGACAAGAACAAAACAAGGTAGTATAATTGGAAGAAGTAAAAGAATGAATAAACACTCATTGGACACCCCCAAAGTTATTTTAGGTTTCAAAGAAAAATGCTCCAACTATGGACAATTAAGATCAATATTCCTGGATGCAAAGGAAAAATGGTTAGAAACTAAAGATTCTGACGGATTTTGAAAATAAAATAACATACATTTTTATCACCTATTTACCTTTCAAGCATTATATAGATTATTATATATACAAAATGTTCATTTTATGGAAGTTTTTCTGTTAATGCCTTGATTGCATCAAATGCGTCTTTCTTGCTTACTCGCTTTCTTAAAGCATTTGATTTCGATACATTGGAAGCGTTGCTTCCACTATTGTTTCCTTTGGTACCCTGTTTTGGATCACTAATAATGGTTAATGTCAATTCCGGAGTTGATTGTTCTTTAGGTATTGTTTCAGCAAATGGCTGGTAAAAATATTTGAAATAAATAGACAAGCATGTTCCATCAAAAGCTATACCATTGTTCCCTTTTTTCAATTGATATGAGGTTGAAAGCGATTCAATTAGATGGTCTTCATAATCTGATTTTTTGAACGAACTTACTAACATTTTGCTTGTTTTCAAAAAGTCCTGATAATTCATTGATGGAAGTAAATGTTCAGTATAATACTTTTCGTCGAATTTTAATTCACGAGCAATGCATTGTACATAAAGTGAGATTGTTTGTTCAATGGCTTCTGGAACATAAGCCATACCAGAGCTGAATCTTCTAATCTTCTTAATGGCCAAACCAATTGAATTATAATCTTTTTTGTCATTTAATAACTCAATGTAAAACATAATATATTGATAAGTGTAAACAAAATGTTTTCCTGGTCTTTCTAAATCAGGTTTCCAAATATTTACAAGATTCTTATTCACACTTTTTAGTGATATTAAGTTGTCCATTTCTTTTAGTGCACCATTGATATCATTAAAATCATGATGAAGAATTTTGGCAATTCTAAATCTAGGCCTATGTTGCCACTTTTTTTTATCTAAATGTAAAATCAGTTTTAGAAGATCTATAATTTTTGTGAAATATGCCTTCTTCCTATAATCTTCAGTTATAGAGTTATCAATATTCCAATATGATTCATCTTTTTCAAAGAATTCATTGTTTTCTGATAAAAATAACAATGCTTCATCAACATTAATTAGATTACCCTTTACTAGTTTGTAACAAATATTTACAATAGTATAATGCGGTTCTATGATAGGTTCCTTCGGTGAAGACACTGACATTGCGATTTTACATGCGCTTAAAATATTATTTTTTACAAGATGAATTGATGATGATTTGTCAGATTTAAACAACACTTTCGCAATAATGTGAAAATTTATCCAATTTTGCTTATCCAAATCTTTTTTTTCCTTATCACCATCTCTGATTTGATTTGCCTTGTGGAAACATAACAATATTGCCTGTTCGATATTGAAATTTGAAATAGAATTAGAATCTTTCAATTTTTCTTCAACTACTTCATACTCATTAGTTAATTTTAAAAATTTATTTGGGAAATTCCAAGTGTAACATAATTTTTCCATTGGCTTATAGTATCCATTCAGCAGTTCTTTCCCCAAAGACTCCAAAGTCTTTGCTACAACTTTTCTATCATCATTAGTATAATTGTCAGTTAAGAAAAATATACTTAAAGACATTAAATAGCAAAGTATAGCTTCCTTCTGCGTATTTGCAGTAGTCCTTTTCTTATCTGGTATAGATATCTTGTCTGAAGTCCATGTCAAATCGTCCTCTACTATATATGAATAGCATTTCCCTAGCATATACCAGGTTTCGAATCTTCTTGTATTATACAAAATATCCGTTTTTAGCATACATATTATAGCATCTAATTCTGAAGGTCTAGCTTGCATTGACTTTTTTCTGACACTATAAAAGTTTAATGCTTGAATGCTTGAAATGTAAAATAAACCAGCATCAACCGCTGTCTGAAGGTCATCGTTAGGAGAAGTAAAATTTACCTTATTTAATCCCTTAAATGAATCTCTAAACAGTTTTGTAGTGATTGGTGTGTTTAGATAATAACTGAGAAGATAATTATTTCTTGTCATAATAAAGTTTTCTGATTTAGAAGGGTCTCCGATTGTGTCAATGATATCATCAAGAACCTGTTTTAAAGAAGATTTGCTGCCACCTACTAATAGTGGATTTTTTCCATTATACTGAAGCTTTATCAAGTAAATGCCTAATGGCAAAGCATTTATTTTATCCATTGTGTCGGCTTTCGTTGAGTGATCTTCTAGAGAAGAGTTATCAGCTGAAAATGAATAATGATAACGACACCATAAGATTTGTTTCAATGGAACATAAGCACTCTTATCAACATGGTGACATAATATATTTTCAGATATTCTAAGGAAATTGCAGTTTGATGAATCACAAAATTTGAAATGACCCAGCAGCATATGAAAAGTTGACACACATTTTGTAGTCAAATCACCGACATGTTCAGGGGAAACCTTTGAAAATTCATAATTTAAAATGTAAAGTAAAATTGAGAGTAAATCAGTAAAAATCTCCTTCATTTTCTTTGCTGATTTATTTGCTCTACTAAAAAAAGACTTTAGTGAAGTATCATTAGTGTTTGAAGTTTCAAAAAATAGAACAGTAAAAAATAAGATGAATACATTAATTAAGACATTGATGTCTTCCTTTTCAGGCACCAGATTATCAATAGTTGAGATGTTATCGACAATATTTGCTATGACTTTGGAAGTAAAGTATCCAATTGATGAGAGACATGTCAGTAGCATTTGCTGCCTACCTTGTTCAGGTTGTTCTGAATATTCTGTTGATGACAATTTCTTCAAAAGAAGCTTTAATATATAAATATAACATTTCAATATCTTATTTGACAAATTTTGTTCAAAGTAGAATAAAAATAATACTTCCCATAGCTTCAACTGGAGTAAAAAAGGCGAACTTTCTATGAAAGACACAATTTCATTGTCTTCTGAGGCTGCGTCATTTGAAATATTGATACTTTGTAACAGCACACGTTCTAGAAGAGAAATATGGCTATCTATCTCATTTTCTATAGGTTTAGTGCTTTCTAAATCCACAATTGTTAGCTTTTGGACGATATTTATTTTCTTAATTTGTCCCCTGATAATTGATAAATTCAAGTGTGGTACATATCGATAATTTGGGAATAAAACATCAAAAGATGGGTCATACTTTTCGATCTCTTCCTCTATAATGGTTAATGTTTCTATTAATTGTTGATCTATCAAGTCCGAACAATATTGAAAATAGCAGTAACGAGCCCATTTAAAAAATATATTCCATTTTGCATCTTCATTGTGGACCTTTTCCAACAACTTTATCCATTTTTTAATTCTTAAATTAACTTTATATTTCTGCGTCTTCAATTCATTAGTTTTATATCCTTGTAGCTTTTTCAAATTAATATCATCGGTGATTGATCCCAAAAAGTTTACTAGGAACTCTAAAACAGTCAATGCTAAATAAGAGTATTTTTCTAAATTTTCAGTGAGAAAATCAAACATTGAAGATTCGACACCCATCAGCAGCCACTCGATATTTGAAAATAAAGACTTAGGCCATAGGTAATTAATAACAAGTCGTTCATTGTTATTATCAGGGCCATTTGAGTTTAAAAGTTTATCTATTAGTCTTAATCTAACTTCATGGTAGTGCAGTTCTCCCTTGTTAACACGGTCAATAAATTCCTGAATTTCAATAGATGACAGATCTGTTAATTTTTTTTCGAAATTCTCTTTTTCACCAAATTCATCTGCTACATTTGATTTCAACAAAGTAGCAAGTTGTAATGATTCATCTTTCTCTGAATTTGGATCAGAGCTATTAACAGAATTTGAATAATAAGTATTTTGTGTGAAAATATCTGCATGTCTGGAATTCCAAGTTTTTAAACAATTGAACAAATCAACCAGCGGCATGAACTCCTGGTTAGTGCCAGCTAAAATATTTGAGGAATAAAAGTCAAACGTATATGGAAGTTCTACTTCTAGTTCACTTAGTATAGAAGACAGTTGCGAGAAGAAAGTGGTATGTACATTAAAAAGTTCAGTTTCGTCTACCTCTTGTTCAACCTTCAATCTCTTACTTGTCCTCTGTGCAGGTCTCTGTGAATCAGCATGATCATCGGATCTTTTTTTAGTTAGATTATCAGAACTTGTTTCTGCCGTTACATTTTGATTTATATTTGAATTTGAGTTTACTTGAGTTAACTCATCTGTGGTTTTTTG